CCTTAATCTCACAACACATGGATAGACATAACCATAGTTTCAACTGGGAAACTGTCAGCATTTTAGACCAAGCTAAATCAAAAATGCGAGACAAGGCAGCCATAAACAGGCACATAGAGATAAACATCATCTACACACTATTCAAAAGGGATAATAAAAAGGAAACAAAGGACCAGAACATCTCCTCACCAGCAATCATCACCCAGATAAGCAGAAATTACAATCAAGATCATCACCAGACATACAATCAAGCAATAAACAATACCCTAATCAAGGAACTACCAGGAAAAAAAAACAACCACCAACACAGGCAGGGCAAGCCACTGTATACAAACAGAGAACAAACTCCACTCCATTCTAGCTCTGAAGATGTTACCTAGCTGGGTAACGAAACGTTTGCAAGAAAACCAAGCTCAGAGAACCCAAGGACTCCATAATTCAGTATTGCCAATTACAATTTCCTAGCCATTATTGAAATGGTCACAGTAAAATACTTACTTCCCGTCTGGAGAATCTTCTAGGGAAATGAAGCAATTCATATGCTGTTCTTTTAGTAACGAATGGATCAAGGATTCGGATTTGGCCAGGCTTATAAATCATGTTCATTGCTGGTTTCCTCCAGAAGACATCAGTTCTCTGTGGAACAAAGAGCTCGCCTTTAATATGTTAAAGCTGTACTTCCATAATATGAAGGCAAATGACTACATGTGTCACTGTAAAGGAAGGGAATATACTAACTACTTCTAAAAAATTTGCTGAAGTCATAGAAGTATTTGTTTTCTGCTTCTCATATGTCTGAAAACATACCCTGATTGCATTAAGGAAATGAATGATAAATGAACTTTATAAATGGGAAAACAAGTTAGCAAAATGATTTTGCATTAACCATAAGGCAGCGCTGACCAGAAATAGAATGCTGTATCCTACAAAACTCAGAGAGAATCTCCAGATTTTTCAGAAAAGATGGTGACATTCCCTAAAAAAGTATCATTGAGGCAATTAAAAGCATCCTCCTATTTTGGCACAATGATAATTATTCAATCCTATTTGATGGACCTATTCCAACTCCAGAATGCCCCCATATAATCTAGAGTGCTCCAAAGTTAGTTTAACTTAATGTCTCACTTTAAAGCAACTTTTTGAAAAAGAGTTGCTATTCTTTTGCTTGGCATAAAAAAATGCTCTATTCTTTTGCTTGGCATAAAAAAAAAATACAAATGGCTATAACTTTCTTCTTTGTCAGCAGAAAGGGATGACAGATGAAGCAAGCCGTAAGTGTCTGCAGGAGAGGATGAGGGCAAGTGACAAAATGTGCATGATAAATCATGACACAAACCTCATGACTTACCACCTTTCCTAAATACAGTGGAGAATTTTTTGGGGATAAAGACAGAAGTACAAAAAAATATTTCCTTTACATAAAAATAAGTCATTCATTAAATCAAGTCAGCTAGTGAGGATTAATGGAGTTTTAAAAATGTCATCACCATGTGTGCCCAACCAGGTTTTGGCAATACATGCCAAGTCTGCATGCTCATTCACTAGATTGTGAGGGGTAGGATCTTAATACAAATAGTCCTGGAGTTTACCATCAAAAGCCTGAGCCCAAGATCACTGGCAGTTCTCGCATCTGGCCCCAGGAATGAGGCTGCCAGCCTAGAAGCAGAAACAGCCATCAAACTGGCAGTTTTCCCCTGAATGGGGAAGCCTAGTATCTCCTACGACCCATTACAATTGGGACGTTTCTGCCTCTAAATCCCACCATTAAATTGAGCCATAATAACTGCTCCTACACATCAATTATACCACGGATAGTTTGTGGTATGGCATTGCCACTCACACTGGCACTCTATACATCCCAATTAATCAACTTCTCCCAGTCACTCTTCTACAACCCACCATAACCATATAGAAATCAGTCTTGGAGTGGACACTAGCAGGACACACCATCCCATTAAGGTACTCTACCACTGATGCCCCTGCACCTTGTCCTCTCACCACAAGTGGTGGCTCAATTCAGGCAATTTTGTCTCTCACAGAAAACTGCTGGTCTCTATTGCCTCAAAACCACGCAAGTGATTCCAGTCTTTCAACAGCCAGCCCCTCTACATCTCTTCTAGCACCAGCCAGGGCACCCCAGCCCAACACTGTGACCCTCCTTTTAAACAGATCTGAGGGGGGGAGGGCAAACCAACCTGACATCTGAACACAGCTTCTCAGTAGTCTCCATCATCTAGTCTCTTTCTATCCCCTAACCTAACACTAAGAAGAGCAGAGCCCTAGATGCTGTTTGGGTCTGCTCTCTTCTTGCTCTGTTCCCATGGCTTTGGTGTGGGCCAAATAAGATCTAAATACATTTCTTCCAATAATACCGTCTAACACCAGGACATCAAAAGCACCCCAAACACCAGGAATTCAGGGGCCTCACCCAGGGAACAAATCCTCTAGAGGCCACCAATCCATTCTGACGCCTCAGACTCACCCCCTTCTGTGAACTCACTAAAATGGGACTTAGCCTCAGGATAGCCCCACTCAAACTCATCAATCTCCCTGCTTCTTCTTGCTTGCTCTCCAAACCTCCACCAACAGTCTGTGATGCTACTCTTTCAAAGACATGTAACACCATTCTGCCAGCTGCCGCAAACTCCATTTCAGTATCAACATTTTCCTCAGTCCAAATATTTGGATATCCGAAAATTTATTTCTAGCAACATTATTTCTAATATAACTCACAATCTACCACAAAGGCAGTTTATCAATATATGAATTAGCCTACTTTCAACAGAGGCAAGAAAGAGGACTTTTAAGCAATCTGCTCAAATTTTCTGGTCTGTTTATTATTAGATTTATATCCAGTCTTTATTTTATTCAACTCAAAGCAGTGTGCGTAATGTTCCTGCTTATTTTTCCCATAACAACAACCCTGCAAGGTGGGTTGGGTTGGGAGTCAGTGACTGGCCCAAAGTTCACCCAACCCACATTTTTGCCTGACTAGAACCCATGGTCTCCTAGTTTCTAGTCCAGCACCTTAACGACTACACCAAACTGGTTTTTCAAAGTTACTTTGTCTATGAAAAAAATCCAATTATTTTTTTCTCCCTCCCCCATCTTTTAAAAAAGAATACTCTTAAAATGTAAATGGATTCTTTATCATATTAATTAATTTAGACTATATGGTTTATCACTATTTTATTTGGGGAAGGCGGAATACCATTATTATTATGAGATTTTTATCCCACCTTTTAAAAAAAAAATTGGTCAACTTAAGGATGTGTTATCACTATTATACAGTATGTGTTTGTTTAACTCAGTAAATTCCTCTATGCAAACAATGTATTTCATTGATGCAGGAAGCTAAGTCCAGATGAAAGAAATAACTGAAATAAAAAAAACCCTGAATTTGCTGGCAAATTTAGAGGCATACAGTCACTTTGCATGATTTCTGCTAGTCGAAGGGAAAGTCAAAGATATATTCCATAGTGAAGTATCAACCTAAAAGAGATCATCCTTACTTAGGACAATTCCTCATGGCTGTATATAGCCGTATATAACTATATACTGCATTGAACATACCTACATGTTCTTGCAATTTAGGCATAAGAGCAAGCCATTCCTGTAATCATGAAATTAACATTCCCAACCAGTATTCAGGGCAAAGCACTGTGCTGCTATATGGTAAAGAGAAGTAGGAGAAAATTCAGATATACACCCACCCCACAGAACTTACAAAGTAACTGTGGCCACTTAACAGATCTGAAAGCCATTTTAAGTCATAGGGCTTGAAGACAATAAGAACAGCAGTTGTGTTAGGATCATAGTGAACTGGATCTGAAAAAATTGACTCTGGATAGAAGAGTCGGAATGTCGTCCTCCTTCCAACATCATCTTCATAGCCTACAACAGGCCCATTATTCATTCTATTGAGGAAAAATATTTTTATTAATGGTTATGAAAAATCCCACTTTTATTTGCTGAAGTACAACTTCAAGACAGAATATTCAGAAGCAGAATTTGCTCTAATATTGGTTAGGTTTGCATAGTATGCAGACTTAACCTGGCAATACACAATAGATGCAATAAGACAACAGGTAACGTTCAATTTAAGCAATATTAGGTTACATGCTTTGACTCAGTTGTTGGAATCTTTTGTTGTTATAATTCAGGAGCACCTTCCTTTGGGAGAAAGGCATTGACAAAATGGACTTATGACTGGCCCCCAAAGTTATGGCTGTTGCAACACCCCAATGGTCATGTGATCAAAATTCAGGTGCTTGGCAGCCCGCCTGCACTTACGACCACAGGGGTGCTTCAACTCCCCCCACCCATCTTCTCCATCTCTGCCCTTTTGGGTGCCCTGCTCTCCGCTACATATCCCTGCCGCCCCCCGCCACCGCTACTATCCTCACTGTCTTCCTCCTCCTTCTGCTGGTCTGGGATCCAGGCACTGGGCAAGGGTGCAGCCCTGGAATATGCACTCCTGGAAAGCCTCAACCTTGGAAGCAGCTGCAAAGACCCATGCATCTTGGGGTTACAACTGCAATGGGGGGTGCTGGGATTGCCATCACTAAGTGATGTGGTCATGACTGCATCACTTAGCGATGGAATTCTGGTCCCAATTGTAGTCGTAAGTCGAGGAGTATTCTTCCTAAATACACATTACAGATAGTCCTTGCTTAACAACCACAACTGGGACCAGCAACTCCGCCACCAAGCGACATAGTTGTTAAGCAAAACTTCACGTTACTGCAACTTGTGATTTTACTGCCAGCTTCTCCATTGACTGTGAAGCGTGCAAATGGCAATCACGTGACCACTGGAATCTGCGACAGACATTAAATGCCTGCCGGTTTCAAAGCACCCAAATGGTGATCAAGTGACCACAGGGACACTGAGGTGGTTGTAACTGTGAGGACTGGTTACTTTTTCAGTGTCATCGTAACTTTGAATGGTCACTAAACAAGGGAGTTGTTAAATGAGGTCTACCTGTAATTTGCTCCTTATCATCAAAGAAAACAAGAAGAAAAAATAAAGAATGTTACTCGGTCAAACTGAAGTTGTCATTTGAGTCACTGAGAGCTGCATGGGACAAGGAGCCCTACCCAAAGAACATACTAAAAAACAGGCAGAGGTAATAGAAAGAACAGGGACCCTAAGTAGTTTATTTCTTTACTGGGAGCTTGTGTAGGTTCTCATGATGGAGTAACAAAAAAATAGAAAGAAAAGTTCTCCTTCAAGTGTGATACAGAAGCATGGCAAGGGAACAGTTATATTCCCTGTGGTTTCCTACTTCTTCTTTAGCATACAGGTGAAACTCGAAAAATTAGAATATCGTGCAAATGTTCATTTATGTCAGTAAGGCAACTCAAAAGGTGAAACCAATATATGAGATAGACGCATTACATGCAAAGCGAGATATGTCAAGCCTTACTTTGGTATAATTGTGATGATTATGGCGTACAGCTTATGAAAACCCCAAATTCACAATCTCAGAAAATTAGAATAGTGTGAAAAGGTTCAATATTCGAAAAATTAGAATATCGTGCAAATGTTCATTTATGTCAGTAAGGCAACTCAAAAGGTGAAACCAATATATGAGATAGACGCATTACATGCAAAGCGAGATATGTCAAGCCTTACTTTGGTATAATTGTGATGATTATGGCGTACAGCTTATGAAAACCCCAAATTCACAATCTCAGAAAATTAGAATAGTGTGAAAAGGTTCAATATTCGAAAAATTAGAATATCGTGCAAATGTTCATTTATGTCAGTAAGGCAACTCAAAAGGTGAAACCAATATATGAGATAGACGCATTACATGCAAAGCGAGATATGTCAAGCCTTACTTTGGTATAATTGTGATGATTATGGCGTACAGCTTATGAAAACCCCAAATTCACAATCTCAGAAAATTAGAATAGTGTGAAAAGGTTCAATATTCGAAAAATTAGAATATCGTGCAAATGTTCATTTATGTCAGTAAGGCAACTCAAAAGGTGAAACCAATATATGAGATAGACGCATTACATGCAAAGCGAGATATGTCAAGCCTTACTTTGGTATAATTGTGATGATTATGGCGTACAGCTTATGAAAACCCCAAATTCACAATCTCAGAAAATTAGAATAGTGTGAAAAGGTTCAATATTCGAAAAATTAGAATATCGTGCAAATGTTCATTTATGTCAGTAAGGCAACTCAAAAGGTGAAACCAATATATGAGATAGACGCATTACATGCAAAGCGAGATATGTCAAGCCTTACTTTGGTATAATTGTGATGATTATGGCGTACAGCTTATGAAAACCCCAAATTCACAATCTCAGAAAATTAGAATAGTGTGAAAAGGTTCAATATTCAATTATACCAAAGTAAGGCTTGACATATCTCGCTTTGCATGTAATGCGTCTATCTCATATATTGGTTTCACCTTTTGAGTTGCCTTACTGACATAAATGAACATTTGCATGATATTCTAATTTTTCGAGTTTCACCTGTATCTGAAACAGCTCTTTGAAACAGCTGTACTTTCTCATAATTTTTTCCTAAAATCTTATGGAAAGTATTGAATATCCAATCTTGGAATTATTTTTTCCAAATAAACTTTCTTATTCTATGTTCTGTTTTACCTACTCTTAAGATGATCTTTTTCCTAGTGTATATTTCAGGTATGTTGCCCATTATGACCAAACATGGAGTCTGATCATACCTTCAAGACTTCCTTCAAGCACCTTCAAGACAGCAGCTGCTCATAAAAGCTTATCCCTACTAAACCTGGTTAGTTTTGAAGATACAGCCAGGCTCCATGTTTACTATGTTGCCATAGACTAACATAGCTTTTTCCCATCTCCACTGCTACCAAGATAGCTTGGCAGGAGCCCATCTCCAATCTCTTCCATACACTTCTACTAAGTTCACCTTTGCCTTCGTAACAGTGATTTTACTTCAATGCATCTCTCTCTCCCCTCCTTCACAATTGTATATATTATCCTCCCCTTTCCCAAAGTAGAAAAGGTATCATTTCTAGAAAAAGAAATAAATCATTTTTCAAGGTTATAAAGACTTGTGAAACCCACAAGAAACATAGCTAAACATGGCTCCACAGACCATAGGGTCTCCTGGAATTTTGAGAGCATGTTATAGATACGCTAATAAAACAGCTGCTAATCACAAACAATTCATTTAACAGAAGTCAAACTACTTAGGTTGCCACCTACCAACTGTTCTATTTTCTAGGATACTCTCTACCACCTCAGTTTACCATCTCCTTTTTTTCTGGAAAAATGGGCACCTTTGCAAACAAAGTATTGTACTGTAGATGTAAGGCATTTTATAAAAATGCCTTTAGGGTTAGAGAACCTTCAGCCTAACCCTGTGTAAGGCCCTTAGAAATATGTGTTATGTTTGAGGCTGGTGCTTTGCTTGCAGCCTTTAAAATAAAAAATATTAAAAGAACAACAACAAAAGGTGGGGCAGTAAGGAGCAACCTAGGATGTCACCAAACACAGATTACATTTAAAAGGAAACATTCTGCTATAGCATAATAAAGCACCAATTCTTAACTCAGCCATGAATTTATTACACAGTATGCCATTACAGGTAATCCTTGCTTAATGACCACAATTGGGCCCAGCAACTCCATCACTAAGTGTCGTCGTCATTAAGCAAGACAGCACATGACTGTGATGGGCTTACGACATCACTTACGCTGCAGTCATTAAGTGAACCATGTCATTAAGTGAGACATCATGTGATTGCAACTTGCGATTTTAATGCTGGCTTCTCCATTGATTCTGCTTGTCGGAAGCCAGGTTTGAAGCATGCAAATGCGAACATGTGACCATGGGGATGCTGTGACAGTCGTAAATGTGAGGACTGTTCACAAACTTACTTTTTCAGTGTTGGTGTAACTTCAAACAGTTGCTAAATAGGGCCATCATTAAGTCTACCTGTATGTATGCCAGTATGCCATATCTTCACTATGCCATTTCCTGCCCTTTTTCCTCATAATTATAGTAGGTCATATAAATATCCACTAATAAGGCTACTGATAAAACACTTGTGTTTCACAACAGAAAGCTTGTTTACCTAATTACCACATCGTAAGAATCAATTTTCTGACCCAGACTCTTGTTTCGAAGAATTCCTCCATTGCCAACAACGATACATTTTTTACAGGATGGGCTGGTGAATGATAAGAGCACACCTGATTAAAGCATTATAGGATAAATGTGTCTTTACAAAGACAAGGGGAAAATTAAACATAATCCACTTAAAACATTATTAGCATCAATGTTCAAATCCAGACACCCTGATGATGAAGGAGGAGACAAAAGGACAATATCTACATTTTAAGGATAGAAAACCAACCAGTCTATTGCTGCAGATAAAGTCTATTGGTTTGAAATGGGCTTTTAAGCAGGAAGGAGCTCCCCAACAAACATCCCTCCTGACAGTTTCTCACTTGTAAGCACAGTTTCTGAAGCTGTTTTTCAGTTAAACTACAGCAAAAAGAAATGGAAAAGAGATAAAGGGCACTTCATTCGAGCCAGACAAGATGTGCCATCACAAGATGATGTGATATCCATTTTATTTCATTTTAGATTTCTGTTCATCATGCACAGTGGATAAACACAATAGGTAAAAATTTGCTGCTTTTCAAACTACATTTTCATATCGCTTAATTCAGAGAAAGAGACGGAGAGAGAAGGAAGAGGTATTATATAAGAAAGACCTCCAAAGAAAAGAGGGGTCTGCAGCTTCGGAAAGCCCTTAAACTGGCTTCCTAAGTAGTTTTCAATTATAACATCATCATTTAGGTTTTACTGATTACACTGTCAACTGAAGAACTGTCAAAAGTATCAAAACAATTAATTCTTATGTTAATGAAAAATTCTGCAATTAGAATCCTATTAATACAGAAATATTGTATCATAAAATGCAGGGGTTTTCTTACAAGCTCTCTAAGATCAGATAAAAGATATAATGAATATCCTTACGTGTCATCTTCTGGGAATAGCTCACAGCTTTCCAGTTTTGAAAGTGCTAGTTCAAAATATATTTCTGTAACACAAATGTTTTGTTTTAAAAAAGAACCAGCGCTTTATGGTCCCAACAAAATTCAACATAATTGATTTGAGTATAATTTGTTGTTGCTGTTAAGCTAAAGTGCATGCAGAACAGAGCTCTGTGAAAGAACTTTTTTTGGAATTCTAGAGCTAACAAAAAATAAGCCTACCTTAATCCAGGTGTCTGCATGAACATGGCTTGAGAGCAGGACTTAAGCACCACATTCAACAATCAGGAATGTGATGCTGAGGCAGTTCCCTACATGTCATATAAAAGACATGTCTAGAGGCAGAATATTCTCTATTTACAAAGATATTTAATTATGTTCCTAAACACATAACCACAATTAGACTGAGCATGTTCTAAACATTTTGCCCCTTCACAACAACTGCTGCTCAAATATTTATAGTAAAAGCATTTATTATAGAACTGCAAGAGCTGCCCCGAATATGTGCAAGTTTTCAATGTTGAAGTAATGGTCTTGTTCAGAAACATGACTTTATGCCCAGTATATACAGATAGAAGGCCTTATTCAATATCACAAATGAAGAGAGTATAGGAAATCAGATTATGCATCTTCTAATTTTACTGCCAAAGCATATCCTTAATTTTGTATCATTCTAAGTCTAAGCAGCAACACTTCTGAAAACACTATACCACTTAATAAAAATGAAATGCACATCTTTCATAACTGAACCTTAACCATATGCTGCTCACACCAACACTTACTTACCTGCATGCTTTATTCCATAAGGTAGTTCAAACTCATTACTTCCACGGATTGCAGATATATCAAAAAAATTAGTTTTGCACAAGAAAGGACAGAAATTATCAAGCATATCCTTAATTTTGTATCATTCTAAGTCTAAGCAGCAACACTTCTGAAAACACTATACCACTTAATAAAAATGAAATGCACATCTTTCATAACTGAACCTTAACCATATGCTGCTCACACCAACACTTACTTACCTGCATGCTTTATTCCATAAGGTAGTTCAAACTCATTACTTCCACGGATTGCAGATATATCAAAAAAATTAGTTTTGCACAAGAAAGGACAGAAATTATCCAACCTAAAGAGAAGGGAAAAATACCTACTATTTTTATTTATGTAGTCATTTTACACTCTGTTTTTCAGACAATCTATTCTTGCCAATAAAATTGTTAATATAATTAAACAACCAAAAAGAGAGAGAGCAATTGCAATAGATAACTGGCACACATAACACATAAATAAACATACTGAAGTAACAACAACAAAATTAAGGTTTTCTGTAAGAACACATACATATTTTAAGAGATCTATTCCAGAAATATAAGATGGCAATTGAAAAGGCCATATTTCTGGTATCCATATCCTTTAATGAAACTTGATGGAGTAAGAGGGCAGGGCTCCCTAAGTTGATTGATCTCAGTATAATGAAGTAGTCCCTCATGTAGACATTTGAACGTGCATATTCAAAAACCCAGGTCAAAGAAGAAATATAATCCTCAAAACAGAAAAAAGAAAGTTGGGGGCAGCCTCCATTGCTAATCAAACAAAAGTCATACTAGTTGGAAATAGCCCACTAATCAGAGACAAAGACTAAAATAAACGATTTCCATCAGGAATTTATTAAAAATAAAGATAACTTCAGAAAGGTATTAATTTAATTATTATATATTAATTCTATTGTTTAGTTGATTGATTGAGTTGGGACACCATGTGGGGTTACTTCTGTAAAAGAATCTTAGAAAAATTTCCAGTATCCATGGTTCAAAAATCCCAGCATCTCTGGGTAGGACTAAACAGGTTGTTGAAAAATCCTACTGAGTCCTGTATCATAGCTTCTCTATGAAGATTCAGGATAACATACTTTCAGTGCCCTCTATCTTCTAATCCTCTCTCCCAGAAAAAGAGAAAGTACAGAAGGACTAATGAAAGATCTAGGAGAATCAACAGAATCAACCTTCATGGCACTAGAACTATTTTTGTTCTATGAAATCTGGAATGGATTCAAATAAACAATCTATTTTGAAACTGCTTTGTACTGAGAAGATACTACCTGCTCTAAGAATTTGCTCAAAAATAGTATACTAGATCCTGGGTAATAAATGTTCAGTTCAATTGTACAAATTAGGCATTATCTCAGATTTCAAGACAAAGGGACTCATGCATGAAGCAAATGGGATGCTCTACACTTCGTCCACACAAGCAGCTTGTCCACTTCCTCAGGTGTATAATGTGAAATATATCCATAATAATCTAACCAGAGTAGGCATTTTATTTCTGACCCTCTGCTAATATATATACATATATGCACACTTTTGAGTCAGTATTGACTCATTATGACTGCCTGGACTAGTGTCTGCAGTTACTTGGCAAAATCAGCAAGAAGGCAATGGCAAATGGCTTGCCCAAGTTCAGCCAGCTGGCTTCATGACTAATGTGGTGGGTCTTTTTGCAGTGTTAGTCTCTCAGTATTAAGACTTCTTTTATTTTGCAAAATTCAGTTCGCAAAATCATAGAAATATTTAGAAATTTACATTTCATCAGATTTCTTAATATACACCCCTATACACACCCCTAAGGTGACTATGGGGTATCTTTTCCTCTTGAATTAGAATTTCTCCCCTGAAATTGATTCTCTACCTCTGACGTCATATTCTCTTTCAGGATGCTGCCCCTCCCTGCTAGCCTATCATCATGACTTTTGCTGCTGCTAATGGAACAATGGCAAAATTTGCCTACCAAACTACCCTCCCATATTTCTGATTTCACAGTGACTTGACACATATTTGCAATTTAGGATTTCTTCCCTGCTGAATGAGAAAGGCTTTTCTCACATTATATAACCAGGCTACAATTATGCATCTTATATTAGATCTGCATTTAATGTATCATCTTTTTTCTATGAAAAATCAAATTCATTTAAAAATGAAACCTCTATAAATATTTCAGTACAGTCATAGCAATATAGACAATGGGAGATGACACAACCACTTTAAGTAACATGAAGTAGAAGCCCCTATCCCAGAACATCAGAACATCCCAGGCCCTCCGCACGGTCACCCATGCCCTGGTCACCTCCGGATTGGACTACTGCAATGCACTCCACATGGGGCCACCCTTGAAGAGTATCCGGAAGCTACAGCTGGTGCAGAATGTGGCGATGCGGACAGTTCTCAATGCCCCTAA